GTGGGGCTGGGCCCCAGCGGAGACCCTCGGGCGTCGTTTTCTGTCGCTGTGTGTGGACACTTCAGCCTGGCCCCGCCCCGGGCCCTGAGACCCGCCTCCTCCTCGGGTTGCGTGGTGACGTGGGCAGGGTCGTGGGGGAAGGGCTCTGCGGGGCGGCCGGGGGGCAGTGGCTCCAACGCGGCACGCTGACCTCAGCATCGCCCTTCCGGGGTGCCCTGGCCATTTTTTTAAAATTTAATGTTTGCTAATAGCAGACACCATCCAGGGATCTCCATCCAGGTCTCTCACGTGGGTGCAGGGGCCCAAGCACTTGGGACATCATCCACTGCTTGCCCAGGTGTGTTAGCAAGGAGCTGGACTGGAACTGGAGCAGCCAGGATTTGAACCAGTGGCCCAGGCGATGGCTTTACCCACTATGCCATGGGGCTGACCCCAAGTGTAGACATCAGAGTGTCTTTAATTGTGATTCCCCTTTGGCCACCTTACGTGGCTCCATGACTTGTTCCTAGCCCTCTGTCATTTCCAGTTTCACAACTGTCTGGGGTGTTGACCCAAGATGCCCTCAGCTGTCTTGGCCATGTGTAGTCAGTGTCAGCACCTTGTCACTCCTTCCAAGGTCAGGCTGAGGGATGAGGATGGGGCTGATCACACAGGCAGCTGGATGCCCTGACCCTGAGTGGAGTCTCCTGCTGTAACCTCATCTCAAGACCTAACTCCTTAGAACGTTGGTTTTTTTTTCCTGTTAACCAAGATGTCCATTCCTGGGAGACATTTTGGTGGCCAGTGTCTTGGATGTTGGCAAAGAGGAAAAAAGACAAGTGATTTCTACAGTCTGAGTTCCCCCCGACTTGTGAAGGAGAAAAAGGATCTCAGAGGACCTGGAAAACCAGAGCCTGGTTGGGAGAACCTGAAAAGAAATGTGCTTTAACTCCTACTGGGGCAACACCCAGGGTCTCAGCACACAGTGGACAGAGGACTTTGGTGCAGGATGGGGGTTGGGGGACATCCTACAAGGTGTGAACACCTTGACATTGTGTCACTGGTTCATGCCAGTCCTTCCCCTTCCCTGAATTTTTCCCTTTCCATGAAAGGGAAAGTTTTTTTTGCCATTAGAGCATTGGAGAGAAAGCTATCCAAAGAGTCAAGAGTGAGGTTGATTTCATGGAAGAAAGTTAAGCATCACGCCAGATGTTCCATTTGCTAAACAGTTTTTCTTTAGCATTTTCTTCCCTAGAGTTTGGATAGTGCGTCTTTCAACCTGTTCTGTTCTACATTATTTAAAGTAGATTTCCAAACAACACTGAATCTGTTAAAAATGAATTAAAGTTCCAAAAATTAAGAAAGACAAAGTGGATTTATAGGATTTATTTTTTAAAGATTTACTTACTTATTTATAAATCAGAATTAGAGAGTGATATCTTCCATCTGCTGGTTCACTCTCCAAATGGACACAATGGCCAGGACTGGCCAAAATAAAGCAGGAGCTTCATCCAGGTCTCCCTTGGGGGTGAGGGGCTCAAGCACTTGGGCCATTTTCTGCTGCTGTTCCAGGCACATTTGCAGGGAGCTGGATCAGAAGTGGAGCAGCTGGGACTTGAACTGGCACCCGTATGGGATGCTGGTGCTGCAGATGGTGGCTTAACCCACTGTGCACACGGTGCTGGCCCCAAGGACTCAGTCTTTATAAAGATATTGAGGAGAAGAATATCAGAGAAATAGGGGGAAGTCACTTTTCATTGTGGCTGCAGAACAACGAATGTCTCTTCAAGATAGTGTGGCAGAGAGCTGGCAAATTACAGAGATGACACAAAATGTCATTCCTTCCCCATTCCAGGCAGAGGATCTGTGACAGCAAAGAGCTGTGTTGACTTTTATGTCTCCTGCTTTTTATTTTTATTTTTTATTTTTTGACAGGCACAGTTAGACAGTGAGAGAGAGAAACAGAGAGAAAGGTCTTCCTTTTTCTGATGGTTCACCCCCCAAGTGGCCGCTACGGCCGGTGCACTGCGCTGATCCAAAACCAGGAGCCAGGTGCTTCCTCCTGGTCTCCCATGGGGTGCAGGGCCCAAGCACTTGGGCCATCCTCCACTGCCTTCCCGGTCCACAGCAGAGAGCTGGCCTGGAAGAGGAGCAACTGGGACAGAATCCGGTGCCCCAACCGGGACTAGAACCCCGTGTGCCGGCGCCGCAGGCAGAGGATTAGCCTAGTGAGCTGCGGCACCAGCCTCTGCCCCCTGCTTTTAAGAGTCAGCAGTCAGGAGTGCCATTTGTCATGGTGCTTGTATTTCCATGAGAAAAGTGGGCTGGGTAACACATGGTAGAACTTCAGACTTTCTAAGATGGAAAGAAGCTCTTGGAAGGAAAGTAAGTGATGGCAGGAGGTGATCTGGATGTCTGTGGTATCTTCTCTGTGGAGGTCAGGAGGTCAGGTTAGAGATGACGTCATCCCTGAGCAGTTACACTTCCACATCTCATCCATCTTCACAGATTCAGCAATGGCTCAGGTGTGGATGTGGGTGGTGAGGAGCCTTTTAGATGTTCCCGCCCTCTTGTGATTGGCAGTCAGGATTCTACGTAAAGAGAAAGATACAGGTAAGGGTCGTCTTCCTGTTTGGAAAGGCTTCACGTTTTAGTGCGTGTCATATGTGATCTTGGCTTTGAACGTTGGTGTCTGGGAATTCTCAGTCCTTTGAGTCACAAGCATTTGCTGAGGTTATGCTTCGGCT